CCTTTAGTGGCTGGCGGAGGGGACAGAAGCATGTGCCTCTCCTGGCCGCAGGGGACAATGTGGCTTTCTCCTCCAGCAGAGCTTCTCCTCCAGGACCAGGTCGTCTTACGTCTCTCCCCAGCACAAAAGCACGGCCACCACCTTCCACAATGCTGGAGAATGGCGCCCCCTGGGGTTGTGCAGTGGGGCAGCCCTGACAGAGGGCCTGGCGCAGAGCGTGCTCAGGGAGTGACTGCGATCAATTACACAGAACTGCGTTGGTTCTGAACTGAGAGGAGCATAGGTAGGTGGCAAAAAAAATAGTGTCACCAGGCCGTGCAGGCTGAGAGCTAAGCAGTGGCCAGGGAGGGAGAGATGGCCGAGGGCTGGCGTGGTGAGAGAGGGCGTACAAGGTCTCTGCTACCTGAACCCAGGCCCCAGTGGGGCTCCTGCGCCCAGCCCAGCCAGCGCTGTGCCCCACTAGAAGGGGCAAAGCAGAGCTGATTTCTACCCCACCACCAGAAGGATGCCCTTTCCACGCTGTCTCCAGTAGACATAGGACTAATAAGAAAGGGGCAGGTAGTGTAACAGTCTTTAGAGTGAGTCAGACTTGAATTGAAAATCCAAAGAAGCCATAGTTACGGGATATCACCCATGAGCCCCAGCTTCCTTACCTGCAAAATGCGAATAATGAGGCCAACTCATAGCAAACATCAGAATTGCAATTGTATTTTTGGACGTGACTTACCCACTACCAGAAGTCTAGTACTGGTATTGGTAAACGTTAACTGGTAAACTGGTAAATTGGTAAACTGGTATTGGTAACCTGATATTGGTAAATGTTAGTTCTTATCCTTCATTGTTCTGGAAGAGGAAATTCTCAGTAGGAGGTTGGTAGGGTGGTTTTTCAGGAAGAACTTGCAGGTAGCCAGACGTAGAGTGAAACCTGCCCAGGATTCTTCCAGGAGGCCAAAGGAGATAGACAAATGCCCAGGCACAGCATGAGGGGGTTGCCCTGCCATGTGGAAAACTCCAGTCTGCTGTGAAGGTTGGTGGGCTCCTGGGCTGAGGCCCCCTCTGTATCATGAGATGAGCTGCCTCTCATCGCTCATGTTCAAGGTCTCAGCATTAGCGCTTCATCCCCTTAGCCAAAGGCTTCCCGCCGTGGTTACAGTTTTGGTCCCTCTGAGACTGGAACAAACCCAAGGCTGCTTCTCACTACAGCTCTGTGAGGGGGAAGAGCACTTGCAGGCACTGGGAGCTGACAGGCGGGACCCCCAAGGAGTGGGGAAACGGCAACATGGCGCATCCTAGACCCACCACTGGCACCAGGGTCAGGGCCGAGCCCCAGGGGAGAGGAAGCTACAGGCATCTACATGCTGCCAGTTCAGTAAGAACTGCCACGGCCCCTCCTTCCATCCTTTCAACTAGGTGCCCCTCTCTGTGTAAACTACCGCGCCAGCGCCTCAGTCCATCCGGCCCTATACTGGCCCCAGCGGGGATTCTCCTCAATGCGTCTCAGCACACCCTCTTCCCGAGCCCTCCAACCCCCACACATTCTCTCCAAACTCTAAGCTCCAGCCCTGCCACATAGCTATTTCCTGAACACATTACTCCTGCTTACAACTCCTCTGCCACGTCCATACTCTTCCCTCTGCCTTGAGTACCTGCCTGCCCCGCCCACCGCTCCCCCCTCTCACTCCCATATAGTCTCTTACAAACATTGTCCGTTGTTCAAGCACTGACTTTGCTCCAGTCTCTGGGGACATGAAAATCAGGGAGATACGCAGGTCCCTGCTCTTGAGAGGTTCAGATCTTAGGGAGACATGCCCCATATCAACAGGGACTTTTAGAAAGAAAAATAGAGAGCAGGTTGGGGTTGCGGATGTTCCCCAGGCTAGAGGGTCGGAGCAGCCTGCGGAGGAAGGAGGGGTAGAGGACGCAGCCCAGACAACGTCCTGGGTGGAAGGCGGAGGGCGGCCCTTCTGGAACCACAAGTTACAGTGCAGAAGGGTGAATTGCGAGGAGGGTTCTGACCTACCGTCTAGGTCATGGGAGAAGGAAGAGCTCTGTGCGAGCAGGACGCCAGGGAGGACGGGGCAGCCTGGTCACTATGACAATTATAGGGGCTCTGGCAGTGATGACACAGAGGCTTCTGGTCCCCAAGGGCCCTGTGCTTGGCTGGGGGCGAGCGGGGCAGGGGGAGGCTGAGGAGGGCAGGCAAACGCATCCTGAGGGTGGGGGATGGAAGAGGGGAGCTACCTACAGGGTCTGGTATGTTGGGGGGGACCTCAGAAGACAAGGCCATGTGGCCGGTGGAATTAGCTGTCCCCTAGATTTCGAGCAGAACACAGTTTCCAGAATCTTCAATGCAGGATCAGCCTAAAGCCTAAGGGGGACACAGGCTGCGGAGCCAGAAGTAAGGCTCCTGGTCTTCATTTCCTGTGAACTGCACGTGGAATAGAGGACACTGGCAGGAAGAGCCTACAGGCAGCTTTCTCAAGCGCCTGACCCCAGCAGCTTGCTCACAGAGTGTATGCAGTTCTTCCTCCAGGCCCGGGGCTCTGTGAGCGTCCTGGTTCCAATTAAGCGACAGCGATGTCTGCTGTCACTTTAAGTCTCAACACACAGTCTCAACTCAGATATTATTCCAAAATTATATCTTCCAGTGCCATGTTATTCAACATTTCTATTGTCATTTAAAGTTAAGACTGCCTCTCCCTGTGGGGCCCACCCTCCGGTGGGCTGGCTGCCGGGTCTGTGGGCCTTGGGCAAAGGGGACGCGACGGTCAGCCAGGTTCGCTTCTCTCTCACCTTGTCGGGCTGATCCCCAGGAGCTGTGGGGCCCAGGAAGGTGGAGAAGTCAGGGGCAGGAATGTTCCAACTTGGCTGGGCTGCCCCTAAGGCAGCTCTGGAGAGCGGGTCTCACAAGTCTCAGGCTGACTCTTCCCTGCGGGTGCTCTGGCGGGGCACTCAGGCTCCCGCCCCCGCCCCCCGCCCCCCGCCTTGGCCCTGCACCCCTGACCCACCCTCCCCTGGCCTCCATGAATCCCGAGGTTCACTGCCAGGCTCTGCCAGCTGAGCCCCCTCTCGACAGCCCATTGGACAGGATCTGAGAAGATCCCCGTGCCGTCTTTTTCATGCATGTGGCCCACATCTAATACACACAACCCCCCCCAAAACATCCACACATTCTTCGCCCAACCCCAGGGTGCAGCCCAATCCCAAATCAACACTCCCGTCCGTCCGTCCATCCACCCCACAGTGAAAGCAGCCAGCCCGCCCCAGGCTCCCACCCTCCCCGTACTTCAGGCAGAAGCAGCCTCATCCTCGGTGAGGCGACACTTACCAAGCTCCCCAAAGCCCCTCAACCCAAAACTAACTTGGGCAACTAGCCCTCACACACTTTCCCCTTTTTGTTGGGAAAAACGCAACAAGGGTTTATCCAAATAAATGTTTACAAAATCCTTTTATATCCTCCTTACAGAGCAGAACTGAGAATTGTCAGTCCAGCTCCTAGCATTTCCTGTGCAGATCTGCCCCTCATCTTGCAATTTTTATGTGTATCGTATCTTGGTAGAAACTTCCATTTTACCAACCTGTCACACTTCTGCTGAGCTCTTTTTACGGCCTGGCCCAAATGACCGCCCCTCCCTCTAAGCCCTGCCCAGCCTCCTCAAATGGACTTTGTTGCTTCCTCCTCTCAGCTCCTTGGCTAAGAGGAAAGGGATGGATGAATGTTGACCTACTTTGTGCTGAAGACGCCTGTTCCGTGTGACCGCCTGGTTTCCCGCAGGCTGGGCCCCACTGCGCACGTGCCGGTGTCTTGGCCTTACAGAGCAGGTGCACCACAGGTGCATGCCCCAGGTGACAACGACATGACCGGACTCTTCAGTCTCGGGAGTTTTCTGAAAGATTTCCTGGGTAAATGAGGTCTCATTCTTGAAGGCCAACAACTGCCTAAAAAGTTAGGCCACTCTGAGTGAAACTCATCTGCTTGGATTTCATACCCTGTGCCTTCTAAATAGAAAACCTGTGCTCACACTCTGTTTCCTCAGTGACTCTGGGTCAATGCATTTCCACCCTCAGCTGCTCTTCAAGGTGCCCTTTGTTGAGAGTGCACGGAGCCTAATTTACAGGCCTGTTCGCCCTGCCTGGCCTGTCCGCTGTGTCACTTTCTGTGTCACCTGGTTTACTGACGCTTTGTGCACCGCCCCGCCATCATAGCCGTCCTCCCGCTCTCCCTGCACAGCCCTGCCCGCCTCTGGCAGCTTCCTTCCCGCCGCTGAGCTGTTTCTAGTTTGTCGTGGGCCGGAGCGCAGGGCAAACACCAGAGCTCGGGGGAACGCAGCAGCGGACAGGCGCGGAGTGGGGGCCCAGGGCTCGCTGACACAGCGAAGGCTAGGGCTTTGGGCACAGGCTGTACGATATGTATTCCAACGATGCCAAAGCGTTTTTTGCTCCTTCCTGGAACTTTCTGGGCTCTGGATGCTAAATCGCCTGGTTAGGTAGCTGATAGGCATGGCTGCTGTGGGCCCAAACCTGCTGGTTTTAGGGTGAGGTGAGCTGTGCGGGGGTGGGGCTCAGCCTCAGGCATCTGTGAGGATGGGGTTGGGGGACAGGGTGTGTGAACAGTAGAAAGCACCCTGAGGGCCAGGGAGGGCCTCTCTTGGGGAAGGAGGTTGTAGGGGGAGGTCACTCACTGGCACTGAGGGGCAAGCAGGGGGCAGGCCATGCTGATGGAGGACACCAAGCTCAGAGTCACTTAGCCACCCGCTCGCGGTCGCCCTGCCGTTTACTGAGAGGTGCCGCTGGGACTAGAAAGCAGCCACCTGGGTCGCCCAGCAGATCGTCTTCCCCGGACCCAGGGTGCTCTGTGTTCTTCCCAGGAGCGCTCATTTGTGGTAGCCCAGCACAGGCGTGTGACCGAGAAGATAGGACATCCGGCCCCACTCCCTGGCTTCAAATAAACATGTCTCTTCCCGGGCTTCAGTCTCCTGTGCTGTAAAAAAAATGGGACGATGGCGCCTGGTGGACTGGAGGCAGGAGCATGTGAGGGGTGGATGCTTCGCAAGGGTAAGAGCAGGCTCCCTCCTCTTCAGTCTCCTCCCATTGGGCAGAGGAGAATGCACAGAAGCGACTATGCATTTTCCTGAATCAAGGCCCAGCTCTGCCTTTACTTTCCTGTGTGACCCTTTCTTCCCTGGGCCTCAGTTTCCCCTCCACTCAAGCAAGAGTTTGAACACCTTGACTTCTGAAGTTCTTCTCAGCTGCAGGATTCCACTCTGCTCCTTTCCTCCTGCTCCTCCTCCCCTTCCTCTACCTCTCCCAGGTGCATGAGAGTGTACGTGTGCCTGTGCGCGTGTGTGTGTGTGTGTGTAGTGGGGGCAGGGACAGGGAGACAGTCCTGCAGATAATGAGGGTGGCAGTCCGGGGAAAAGGGTGGCCAGGCCTTTACCTGCCCTTAGGGCCCAGAGCTTTCTCAGCAGCTAATGCCACTTGGGGCTGTTTAATCATTAAAGGAAAGGAATGAAGCCAGGAGCGCCTCAAAGTCCAGCCTGGTAGTGAGCGACTCTCCCGGGCAAGCAAGGGGCTGGCAGGGATGGGGCCTGGAGCTTCAGGAAATGGGGTCAGGACGGCGACAGCTCCACGCTCAGCTGTGAGCCCCGGAGTCAGCCTGCATGCCTACGACATCGGGGTCCTGGTCGTCTACTTTGTCTTTGTCATTGGCGTGGGGGTCTGGGTAAGTACTTCCAGAGGCTAGGGCTGGAGGTGGGGTGGGCGGGGGCAGAGCAGAGTCACACTCCCATCTCCAGCTGGTCCTGGAGCTGGGGGCAGGTCGGCACAGCAGGGAGGGTCAGGGAAGCACAGCAGAGGGGGTGGAAGGGCCTTCAGGAACTACCCTCACCAAGTCCTCCTTTCAAAGCTGGGGGGGTGGGGACTGAAGCCTTGAAGGGTGTGACTTGCCTGAGGTCACAGAGCAGCCCGAGCAGACCAGGCCTGAGCCCCGCCTCCGCCTCTGAGCTCCCTGTCTCTAGGCATCCACTGCCTTTGGCCCCACCCGTCCCAGCCACTGTGAGCTCCATTCCTTCCTTCTTCACCAAGCAGAGACCCCCAGCTCTGCAGATGCTTGGCTCCCGGCCCACCCCACCACCCAGCAGTGAGCGTCCTGGCAAGGAGCAGTGCTTTCTAAAGGGGCTGGGGCTCCTGTGCTCACAGGGAGGGAGCCAGGAGGATCCCAAGGTCCTCCTGTCTTCCGCTGTCCACCACCGAAGCCTCGGTGCCGTGGGTGGGGCCAGGCTTTGAGGTCAACAAGCCCTGAGTTCAGATCTCAGCCCCAACAGCTAGAGCCACGTGGCGCTGGGAACATGCAAAGCTTCTTAAAGCCTCAGTTTTTTCATCTGGACAACGAGATTAGGAGCACACTGTAGTGTGGTCATGACCACTCAGTGACATGACCCATTTAAGCATCTGGCATGGTGCCTGGCACTTAGCTGGCAGCAGTAAGCGGCTGCTATTATCACGGAACTATTAGAAAGAAGTGCCAGCACCTTTAGACTCTGCTGTAAGGCAGACGGTAACTGGAGTCCCAGCTGGTCCCTTACTGGGCTGTGGCAAGGGAGGAACCTTCCCTGGGCCTCAGTTTCCTCATCTGTAAAATGAACAGTCCTGCTCCCAGAGCTGGCGAGAGGAGGAGACAAAGAGGTGTCCCCTGGCTCCTGGGAGAAGCACCCGCGTCTTGGGTAACTGGACAAGTTGCTCTCCATCTTTGGGCCTCAGTTTCTTCATCTATGGAATTAACTCTTTCTGCTCATCAGGCCTCCCTGAAGACTAGAGATGACACTGGGAAGTTCAAGGAAAGGTTTAACAAGCACCAGGCCCCCACAGACTGATCTCTGCCCACTGAGTAACTGACTACTTTTCCCTGGGGAAGAGACACTTCTTGAAATTTCCCCTTTTCCTCCCTCTCCTCTAAGCGTTCCTTTCTCCTGTCTCCAGAACCAGTCAGAGACCCATTGGCTTCAGCATCTTAATAATGGCTTTGAGTTTATCCTTCACTCCTCATTGCCCTGTCCTTATCCCCGCATCTACAAAGTTCTTTTGTTCCCCACTCTCCTTCTTCAGAGCGAGTCCCCCAAACAGGCCACTAGCTGGCCCCCTACTGGTGCTAGAGTGGGGTTGGTTCCAGGGTCCCGGATGGGCCTAAGCGGTGCGGCCTGACTTCAGGCTTGGGCAGGAGAGGCCCCCAGACTCCTGTCTCTGCCCGGGGCCCAAAGACCCACTGGAAGACGCGCAGCCCCCAGTGAGGAGTCCTGCGGGGAGGAGGGGGCAGGTTGGTCTCCTTGCGGCTACTGGACATCTGAGAATGAGGTACCAGCCCCTCTCCCGAAACCAGCTCAGATGGAAGGAAGGAGGGGGAAGGGACGACATTGCACACAGCAATAATCCCGTGCCTGCACAGCACCGCGCCAACGTGGAGGCCTTGTAGCACCTCCATTAGTCCCTTTGTTTTGCCAACTGGCTCTGGGAGACAAGAGTGGGGCTGAGAGAGAGGAGGTGACCCCCAAGGATGCATACAGTAAAGATGGTGAACCCCCCTGCCTCAGTTCTCACCCTCTGCACCCCCATATTTCCTGGGCCAAGGAACAGAGGTGAGGGCAAGGGTTGGGGGAATCTCGAGAAAAACCTCACCTCTGGTCACGTCCTTTCCAGTCGTCCATTCATGCGAGCCGAGGAACCATTGGTGGCTATTTCCTGGCAGGGAGGTCCATGAGCTGGTGGCCGGTGAGTTACCTTCCTTCCTCCCCTCCCCCTCATCCAAGTCCTTGCTTAGCTTCTCCCACCTGGACCATATGGGTCTCCTGGCTCTGGGCTCATTCTCTCTAGTCCACCTGCACCAGCCACCTGAGCGATCTTATTATTAGACACCTCAGGCAAGCGTTCACAGGGAGCCTTCTAACGGGCCACAGCCTGGACCTAGAGAGATGACCCAGAATGTTCTTGCTCCAAAGAAGCTGAGCTGAGCAGATAGGCTTGTAAACAACAGGCTCCCTGCTGAGCTAGTGGGGGGCAGAGGGGTGTATGAGCACTTGCGGGAAGCCTCCAATCTGCAGACAGTGCAAGTAGGGTTAGCAAAGATTTTCTCGGGAAGGTGACACATGAACTTAATACTGAAGAGCAGTTAAATGAGGGAAACCCTACACGTGAAACCCCCAACAACCTCAAGGAGTTGAACCTGAGACCTTTGTGTCCCGTCTCCCATCGGGCCACCGCACTTGTTTCTTCCCTTATCTGTTCAACTTTCTACTCCCCAGGGGCCCTTGGATCTGTGGCCTGATCACGGCTCACCCCACCACCCCCCGGGGACCCGGTTCCCCATAACTTTCCTTCTTTCCCACGTGGCTAGTCCCTCACTGGGTGGCCCGCAACCAGTGTCATTATTTTTCCTAACATTAATTCTTTTCTTTGTGAATTGGCACAATTAATATTCATACCCTCAAATCTTTGTGGACATGGACATGAAGTGTATTAGCGCACATAAAATGCCTGGCACAGTGCCTGGTACATAGTAGGCACCCAATAAATGTCAGTCCCAACCCCTCTTTCTCTTTGTTCCCCCGCTTTCTCTCCTCCCTCCTCTCTCAGATTTCCCAAGTCCTGGCCCTGCTCTCCCCGCCTCGTCTCAGCTCCTGAAGCTCATGGTCCTGATTCCAGATTGATTCAGATTAAAACTGACCCCTTGTGCCTTGCAGATCGGAGCATCGCTAATGTCCAGCAACGTAGGCAGCGGCTTGTTCATCGGCCTGGCTGGGACAGGGGCTGCCGGAGGCCTCGCTGTGGGTGGCTTCGAATGGAATGTAAGAAAGCTGGCCTGGAGGCATCTCAGGGATACCGGGGCTCTGAACCCACCCCACCCCACTGCTGGCCTTAGCTCTGAGAGGAACCTCAGACATGGGGTTCCTTTGGGGAGGCTGAATGGTGAATGGAGAACCCATTTTATGAAGGAAGAAACCAAGGTCTGGAGGAGATAGAGGGACTGTCAGAGGTCACACAGGACTGGGGTCAGGTCCCAGGTCCCTTACCTCCCTGCTCAGAGCTGTCCTCTGCATGACCTCTCCGTAGGCGGCCACCCCTCCATATACATCCAGGACACGGACACCCTTTTCTCCCCCCTGTCCTAGGCAACCTGGCTGCTCCTGGCCCTCGGCTGGGTCTTCGTCCCCGTGTACATCGCAGCTGGCGTGGTCACAATGCCGCAGTACCTGAAGAAGCGGTTCGGGGGCCAGAGGATCCAGGTGTACATGTCTGTGCTGTCTCTCATCCTCTACATCTTCACCAAGATTTCGGTGAGGGCCCACGCCAGTGTGGCTGTCCTGTCTCCCTGAAAATGCTGGGTATGGGGAAGGGTGGGTAGGTAGAAGGAAGGATGGGGAAAGGAAGGATGAATCCATGGACCTTCAATGCATGCTCTCCCTCAGAAGCGGGCAATCAGAGACGGATGAGCAATGTTTGCTGAGCGAAGGACAGTCTCTCCTTCCAAATACCTCATCATCTAGAATTCATTCATTTGTTCACCCATCTTTCCATCAATTGATTCTTCACTCAGTGCCATGCATTAATTGCCTACAATGCTTCAGTTAAAAAGGTCCTTATTCTTTCTCTATGGACCTAAACTTAGAAAGTAAACCTGTGTCACATGACATGCCCAGAGGGCCAGCTCTCAGACCAAAACTAAAGTTGGGGTCCGATGGCCAGTCCAGGTCCCCTGCCCTTTGCCTCACTGCAGTCCTGTAACAGGTTCATAAAGCGGTCAAGGGCTGGGGTTGGCAAGCACGCACAGAAGGGAACTGGACCCTTCAGTTGCCAGGTCCAGGGTTGGGTACAATGATACTGCATCTTGTTCCACAGGTGCTTGTAAGCAGCCAAAGTCAGCTTAGGCAAAGGATGCGACCCCACCTCCTCTAATAAACCCAAACATGTGGCGTACGCTGAACCTGTGCTCATCTGCACCGGGGCCCCTGCCCCGTCAGGTCAGCCCCGGGCCCATCTGGCGGCTGAGTGGGCTCTGCCGGGGACCCTCTCGGACCCTCGTCTCCTCCCAAGGGGTCTCTTCTTCTCGGACCCCAGCCCCCTGCTTCACTTCCTCAGTCGTACACTTCGCCCCTCACCGCACCCTTCTCAGCCAAGGGCTCTCCTATCGGTGCTGCCGGGTCTCACTGCTCCCGGTCTCAAAGTTACACGGGCCCCTCCTCTGCTTTAAAGTCTCACGGCGGCTCAGCATCTGCAAGATCAAGCCCTTCCTCCTCAGCAGGGCACTTAAGGCTCGTCCTTGTCCTGTGTTGAGGGCTGTCAGCAGCTGGTATTGCTGAGCGGGGAGGGGACGCACCCTGGTGGCCACACCGGGTGACCTCCTGGTCCGGGTCTCTGCAGACTGACATCTTCTCTGGAGCCCTCTTCATCCAGATGGCCTTGGGCTGGAACCTTTACCTCTCCACGGCCATCTTGCTGGTGGTGACGGCCGTTTACACCATCGCAGGTAGGGCCAAGGGCAGGCCACATTGGGGTACAGGCGCCAAGAGCAGAGACGAGGGACAGGGAGCGGGGAGAGGGAAGCCTCTTCCCGCGGAGGAGACACAGAGGGAAGGGCTGCAGGAGAGAGACGTCTGAAGGGAGGGGCAGGGAGAAAACTGCCCTTCAGGGAGAAGGAGAAAAAAGGAAGAGTCAAAGGTGGAGACAGACATGGGATCAAAGAAAAACACAGAGGAAAAGATTGAGAGATACAATATAGTGGAGAAAGGGGAGACATAAAGGGCAGAAGCAGGAGGAAACAGAGCCAGCCCGAGAAAGACAGGAAGGAGAGACCCTAAGAAAGACCTACTATAACAGGAAGCAGGGTAATGATTAGGGGACTGTCATCCAGAATACAGTCCCTGTGGGCTGTTTCAGACAAAAGCCACACACCGGCCTTCCTCTGCCTCCTCCAGGACACCTACGCAGGCCTGGACATCCTACGCAGGCCCAGGGCAGACTTGCTGGTGGCTCAGAGGGCCCGAGAGGATGGGGAATTTAAGTGGGCGTTCGAGTGGAGGTAGGGGTGCTCCTGGTGGAGCTTACAGCTCACAAAGGAACAGACCTGGGATTCGAAACAGAAAGTTAGGGCCAGGCAGCCGGGCAGCTGCAGGCAGAAGCTGCTGGGTGGAAAGAGCAGGGCCTGAGTGCCTGTGTGACCAGCCTCCACCCTGCAGGTGAGCACGCAGCGCAGGGAAAGGCAGGCAGCCGGAGTCCAGCTGCTAAGAGGGCTCCGTGTCTTCTCTGGTCTCCCCAGGGTGGCCACGCAGAGGGCGGGCACCCAGAGAGGAACCCGTATTGGTGCTGACTGACGAGCCCTCTCCTTGGGTCCCCAGGGGGCCTGACGGCTGTGATCTACACAGACGCTCTGCAGACGGTCATCATGGTGGGGGGAGCGCTGGTCCTCATGTTCCTGGGTAAGGAAGAGAGGGGCGCACACCCCAGCTTTGCCCCCAAGTTCCTCTCTCGTCTGCCTTTGGTTGTCATCTCTGTGGTTTGACCAGAACTTCCCCGAGCACAGAGCCATACCCCACTCCAGGCCGGGTGCAGATTCTCTGCATGCCAAACCAGGGAGCCCCACGTCCCTCCTGCATTTCCATGTCCCATGCCAGTTCTGAACCCAGGGACTCGATGTGGGAACGGGTGCCGGTGGCGGGCGGGGGCACATGGCAGGCCCAGCGGGGACTTGGGGCTGTTTTACTCACTGCTGTCTCTCCCCACAGGCTTTAAGGAGGTGGGCTGGTACCCAGGGCTGGAGCAGCGGTACAGGCAGGCCATCCCTAACGCCACAGTCCCCAACACCACCTGCCACCTGCCCCGGCCCGATGCCTTCCACATGCTCCGGGACCCTGTGAGCGGGGACATCCCTTGGCCAGGCCTCATTTTCGGGCTCACGGTACTGGCCACCTGGTGCTGGTGCACGGACCAGGTGATGCCCCTGCCCAGGCTTGGCCCCGCCCACCACACACGGGGGTGGGGGCTCCCTGTGGGAAAACTGGGCATCTGGATGCACAGAAGGTGGGTGCTTCTCTGGGACCGCTGCAGGGCACGGGGGGGGGGGGGTGCTGCGCCAGAGCTCCCCGCGGCTGGGCGGAGCCTGGCCCGGCCCCAGCGCCTCGCCTCCACCCGCGCCTTTGCAGGTCATTGTGCAGAGGTCTCTCTCCGCCAAGAGCCTGTCCCACGCCAAGGGAGGCTCCGTGCTGGGGGGCTACCTGAAGATCCTGCCCATGTTCTTCATCGTCATGCCCGGCATGATCAGCCGCGCCCTGTACCCAGGTGAGAGCTGGGCTCCCTCCTGGCACTGTGGGACTAGGGCAGGCAAGGGTGGTACCGCTTTTATGAAGAACATCCAGTGCTATGTCAAACAAATGTACTGAATGTCACTTCAAAATCCTACTTTGGCCCTGACCCGGTAGCTCAGATGGTTAGAGTATCGTCCCCACACACCGAAGTTGTGGGTTCAATCCAGATCAGGGCATGTACCAAAATCAACCAATGAATGCATCAGCTAGTGGGTTGATGTTTCTCTCCCTCTCTGTCTCTTCTTCTCTTTCTAAAATCAATAAATAAAATTTTTTTTAAAAATCCAACTTTCCCTTTATAAGGGAAAGAGCAGTTAAGGCATTCTTGGTGCCTTCCAAGGATACTTACCTTTTATCAGGAGATACGGCCTAAAACTCAAACAAGTTTATCAGCCTGGTGGGTAGGATATGGTAGAGAAATGTACCATATGGTAGAGAGCTAAACCATGGCACCCAGACAGCTGCCTGGCCCATGACCCTCTGGCCCTGCCAGAGTCAGCAGTGAGCACTTCCCCACGGGGTCGGAAAGCAAATACTGGGCCAACCCGAGAAGGGAGAGGACGACTCGGCTCTAACTGCCACCACTTCTTCTGCAGATGAGGTGGGCTGCGTGGACCCCGACATCTGCCAGAGAATCTGTGGGGCCCGCGTGGGATGTTCCAACATCGCCTACCCCAAGCTGGTCATAGCTCTCATGCCCGTTGGTGAGTCCTGTGTCCCCCACGCCACCTGCCACTCCTACCTCCCAGCCGCCCCCAATCCCACTGTCCAGGAAGAGTTCCATTAAAGGTGGCCGTGGGTGGGAAGAGGGAACAAAACAATAAAACTTTCACCTCCCCCCCACCCCCAGCACTCAAACTCACACTCACACGCACGCTTTCACAGGCGTCTGCAGAGCACTGCTCTGCGCCCTGGCCCTGCAGACACAGGGAGAGGGCAGGCCCCTGCTCGCTGGCTGCGGGCCGTCTCCGGGTTCTCAGGCTGGCAGAGGCCTCCAAATTACGTGACCAGTGTGGGGACACAGTGGGGCGGAGGGAGCCCGAAGGAGGCACCGGGCCCACGCTGGGGGACTGCTGGGGACGGTTCCTCAGAGGACAGGAAATGGAGCTGCGCCCTGAGGAGCATCTGAGGCAGACAAAGCTGGAGGGTGTGGGAAGTGTCACGCAGGGAGGAGGGGCTGCCCGTGCAGAAGCCCAGGGCTGGGAGAGCACAAGAGGCCCAGGGTGTGGGCTCACATGCAGGAGGACCGAGAACAACCATGGCGGAGAAGGCGTGGTGGCCGCACCTGGTTCTGGGGTGTAGCCTTTGCTCTGAGGGCCACGGTGGGGCGCTGGGGGTTTGAGGCCAGGGTGCGTGATCCGGTTTGAGTTTCAGAAGGATCCCTCTGCCTGGAGGGCTCCGCTTAGGGGCAGGCAGGCAGGTGAGTTAACAAGGGATTTGCAGGGGTCGGGGCGGGGTGGGGGGTGTTTGATGGTGGCTCGAACCAGGTCAGTGTCTTTAGAGATGGAGAAAAGAGGTTTCAAAGGTACTAATGAGGTAGAATTGGCAGGACTTGATGACAATTACATTTGAGGGACAAGAAAGACAGAGGGATCCAAAGAGAACTCCAGGTCTTGGGTTTACAATGCTATTGAGATTGAGGATGTAGAAAGGCAGGTTTGAAGTCGATGAGTGGAGTTATCCCCACCCCGTCCCAGTAGAATAGGAAATGAATTGAAGAAATACAGTGGAGATGGGGGAGGGGAGGCTCAGCTACAGAGCAGCCAATGGGGGGAGGTGGGGGAGGGGAGCTGAGGGGGGTTGCGATACCCCTGAGGACTCTGCTATGGAGACTAGAAAGGCATTGTTAACCAAAAAAAGGAAAGAGAAGGCCCCGGAGGAAGACGGCGGCCTGGGTTTGGGACACTTTTTAGTCTTCCAGGGAGACAAGCAGGAGGCGGTTAAAGATTTGGGCTGGGGCCCTGGCTGGGTGGCTCAGTCGGTGGGAGTGCCGTCCAGACACACTAAGGTTGCATGTTCGATCACCAGTCTGGGCACATGTGAGAATCCACCAATGAATGCACGAATAGGTGGAATAACAAATCAGTGTTTCCTCTCTCCCTGCCTCTCTCTCTCTAAAATCAATCAATAATTTTTTTAAAATTAAAAAAAGAAAGATCTGGACTAGAGGCAGGAGAAGGATTGAGGTGGGGCTGGTTGGGACTCCCCACCGACCTCCCGCCACCCGGGGTGAGCAGTCATTCTGCCAGAGGCTTGGTCGTCACAGCCAGAGACTTCAGGGGTCCGTGGGGCCCGCGCGTCCTCTCTCGCGACAGGAGAAAAACTCATCCCCCAAAGGAAGGACTCAGTTCAAAGGTCACACAGCTAGTTACAGACTTGCAGAACCAGGAAACAAATCTAGGCTCCCCCGCCCCCTGCCGCCAGGGCTTTGCCTGGCACGAATATCGATGAAAAAGGAAAACACTGAAAACACTTAATTATTAACAATCATCCTCCCCACCACCAATGACCCACTAACCAAGTGTCTACAAATTCTGAAACCCAGACTAAGATATCAGGACCGCAGAGAGCCTTAAAGGTCAACTAGTCTCACAGCCCTTAATGGTGTAGCTGAGGAAACTGAGGCTCAGGGAGGGCAGACGTCTCACCCAGGGCTGCCGAGCAAGGAGGGCAGAGCATGGTCAGAACTGGGCGGCCAGTCCTCCATTCCCTACCTGCACAGGGTGAGAACCTCATCCAGCATCTTCCCCATCCCAGTTCTGCCCCAGACTCACGATCCTGCTGGGTGCTGCAGCCTCCGTGGCCGCTGGCGGAGCCTAAGCAGCCTGCCAGTTGTCCATCGAGACCTCGTCCCTCCCCAGGTCTGCGGGGCCTGATGATCGCCGTGATCATGGCCGCCCTCATGAGCTCGCTCACCTCCATCTTCAACAGCAGCAGCACTTTGTTCGCCATTGACGTGTGGCAGCGCTTCCGCAGGAAGGCAACGGAGCAGGAGCTGATGGTGGTGGGCAGGTGTGCTAGCCCGCCCTCCTCGGGGCACCCCTCCCTGTAGGCAGACCCCTCTCCTGCTTCCTCCCTGCCTGGGTTGCCCTGGGGAGACATGACTGGGTCTGGGCCCTGGCCTGGCAGGCAGAGGTGCTGGTCTAGGGCCACCTTCCTAAAAAAACCTCAGGTAAGTTCCTCCCAAGCTCTGCACTGCTCCTCCCCCTCCAGGATAAGGAGAAAAATCTCTCTTCCCTGTCTGTTCTGCTTTCTTTGGAAATTGATCAACAGGGTAAATGAGAGCAGCTGACAAAGCACTTGAGCAGTGAAAAGTGAACTGTATAAGTGGGCAGAAGTTAGCAAGCCACTCACCCACTGTCTTTCACGCCATCTGTTACCCCAGGATAACAGAAGGCTATTAACTTACTCCCTCAGTCTCACTCTGAGGTCAACCTTGCATCATACCTTTGTGCTGCAGACACAGGGTCGACTTATACGGCTATGCGCTGAAGGTGTGCAGGGTTTAGTGAGAAAGGTAGAGACAGAGGCCATACAGTGAGGGACATGCATTGAAGATGTTTATAGGAAGTTTGTCTCCAAAGGATGCAGAGCCTTAACCACCAGGCTAAAGAATTAGAATTTTACTTTGTAAGTACCACGTTTTCCAGAGTATAAGTTGGTGGCTAATTTTTCTTTTTCTCCCTTAGGCTGGGGGTTTTTGTAATTTACATAAGGTTAAGGGCCCTTTCTGAAATCTTTGCTTTGTAATTTAAGGTTCTGTAACTCAGGTTTCTGGACTAAAGTATTCATGCTCCCCTCTGGGTACATGGTAATTGAGTTTAGAGAACTTGCTTTTTTCCATCTCCCCGCCTTTGTGTGCACTGTTCCTTCTGCCATGATGCCTTCTGCCTATGGCTGCCTAATAGATACCCACTGCCTGCTCATAGGTGCACTCGGCCCCATGCACAGTGACTGAAAGGATTGAAACACAGGACAGAGATGGTTGTGCAGAGGGGTGAGGATAAGCAGGAGGGAGGCGCTTGGGTAGCTGCTGTTTTAGTGGGGCCTGCGAGAAAATGGGAGGGAAAGGAAAGGGGAGGACAGGTGTGCAGAGACATTTCTAAAAGAGTTTGTCCTTTGATACTTGCACACTGAACTGTCAAGGGGCGGACACTATTTCATCAACCAGTGGAGTTTGGGTGCCATCTGCTGGCTAAAGGCATTATTGCATCCAGCACATCCAAGAAACGTTTTTCATCATCCTGATCGCACACCTGCAAAATCATATATAGAAAGCATTTTGGGGACCAGGGCCTAAGCCAGGATCCGTTGAGGGGGGAGTTAGGATATGAAGGCTCATTCTCTTCTCTGAGCTAAATGGCAATGTAAGGGAGAGAGGCTTAGAGCTGGAGGAGCCTAGAGAAGGGGGGTCCCGGGCACCTGGAGCCATCCTGGAGAAGGGGGCTGCCCTGCACAAGATTTGGGGAAAAAGAGAAGGAAAGGCATCCCAAACAAAGACTAGAGGTCCTTTACTGAGGTGGGTGGTGGGAGTGAGAGGTATGGATTCCCTTCTGAAGAGCAGGTGGGCTCTCTGACCTCGAATGCATCTGATTCAAAATCCTTGGTCTCTTAGATTCTAGAATTCTGATGTTCTTGGATTTTAAGAGTTTAAATTTCTGGCATCTTAGCATTGGGATTCCAGTCCCCTGACACTCTCTGATTCAGCGACCACACTTCCACTCCCTCTCCCCGGTTCCCAAGCATCCCCTGCACCCCACCCCTTGCCCTGCCATGCTGAGTGCTCCTCACAGCACCCTGTGCCCTCCTGGCAGAGTGTTTGTGGTGTTCCTGGTCGTCATCAGCATCCTCTGGATCCCCATCATCCAAAGCTCCAACAGCGGCCAGCTCTTCGACTACATCCAGTCTGTCACCAGCTTCCTGGCCCCGCCTATCACTGCCCTGTTCCTGCTGGCCATCTTCTGCAAGAGGGTCACAGAGCCTGTGAGTACGGCAGGTCACCACAGGGTCGGGAGAGCTGGTCTGGCCATAATTGGTCTCTTTTCGGGATCTTGGCAAACTGGCTGTCCTTTTCCCCATCCATAGCATCAGGTCTAGAGTCACTCATCAACTCAACATACATTCATCCATCTTATTATGAAGATGCTGTGATGCCTGGTTTACAAGGTTCACATTGGTCTGCCATCTCTGGGCCAGTCAGGAGGAATGATAATTCAATGAGCAATAAAAAGAAAGAAGAACAGCTGCTAGGAGAGTAGAGATCAGGAGCACCTGATTTATGGGATGCCTAGGAAGAAGTCAGGGAAGGCTTCCTAGAAGAAGCAATATCTGAGCTGAGACACAAAGTATTAATAGGAGGGGGAAGAGTATTTCAGAGATGAGGAACAGGGTGTGAAAACTCCAGACAGACTAGGAGGTCCCTAGGATCTGATTCATCTCTGACACTGTAAGGTTTTATATGTAGGCAAAACAAACAAACAAACAAACAAAAAACCGCAATGATGGTGCTGAAATAAAAATAAAGTGTGAACTTACAAAGGCAGTTACACATGTCATTCATGAAACTGCACTGAAATCTAACAGGATCCTGGGTAGAGCTCAAGATAGGACGACTGTAACCTTTGTTACTCCCCAGAACAGTCTAGAAAAAGCCCCAATCTGCTAGCTATCCATCAGGAGGTAAGAGACATCATGGACAGAACTCCAGAGGAACCATGGGAGAGCTCAAGGTCATTGCACAGGAGAGCATAGGAACCTCTCTCCCAACGGACTTCGAAGCAAGGTGTCCACCGATGCCTGCTGTTCGCAGAGGTCCCATCTCCCCGCTGGTAATCACGGCCACAGCAAAACTACACTGAACTCTGGATGTTTCTGCTCATTCCAGAATTTTCAAAATTGGGATTAGCATCTCAATTTAAAAAAATACAAGTCATCTGACTGTTACATACAGGGAACAGGCATGGGTTAGGGTTGAACAGTGCTATAAAGAAGACATGAAAGATGCCAGGCTTTTCTTTTATTTAAAAAAAAAGGCAAAAGACAGGGAAAATAGAAGCAGCAAAAGGGAGATGTCTCCACTGATTACTGATGTATCGTAACAGAAAGTTGGGAACGGGGATCCTGGTGTTCCCTGCTTATATAAGATCATATTCCATTCTGGTTGAATATTAAACACCTCTACTTCATACTTACGCATTTTCCCTATCAGGGCACAGAAGAAAAGCCTGAGTCAGTGAGGTTGGATCATTGCATCAGTTACTCTGGAATGGAGCCAGGGCCCAAATCCCGGTCTGTCTGACTCTGGAGTCCGTGTTATTTCCCATACCCCACTCTGCCTGCCTTTAAGTTAAGACAAAGCCTGAGCATTAGTGGGGAATTCACTCCCACAGAGTTGCAAACACTGTAACCAACTGTTGGGGTGGGGGGAGAGGTAGAGATTTGAAGGCAGAGTGGCTTTTGGCTTCCTAGGGCCTCCCGCCTGGATCTCATCCCCGCCTGGTCTGCCCTCTCTCCACAGGGAGCCTTCTGGGGGCTCATGTTTGGCCTGCTGGTGGGGCTTGTGCGCATGATCCTGGAGTTCTCGTACCCCACCCCAGCCTGCGGGGAGGCGGACCGGAGGCCCACCGTGCTCAAGGACTTCCACTACCTGTACTTCGCCCTCGTCCTCTGCGGGCTCACTGCCATTGTCATCGTCACTGTCAGCTTCTGTACAACCCCCATCCCTGAGGAAAAGGCAAGTGGCCCGCTCAGGCTGAGGGGCGCCCAGAATGCCCCCTCGTCCCAGGCCTGGAGTCTCACCATGAGTTTCGCTCCATTGAGTTGTGGTCTAGCCCGTTGCCACACGGATGTCCTGGGGAGGGGACCTCATTGGGTTATTAATTGCCAACTTCAGAGTAATTTGTTCAATTGGAGGATCATTCAGTGAGCACCTACTATGTACCAGGCCCTGTGCTGGGGTTACAAAGATGAGGTCTCTGCCAGCAACTGCCCACAGAGGATGGGGAGGGGAACAGGCACCCCCATAAACAGTTGCTCCACCAAGAGAAGGTGCAGAAGGACCAGCCTCAAAGGGCAGCCTGGGCACAGAGGAGAGGCAGTGCCCCCGGGCGCCAGAGTGTTGATTATGAGGAACAAGAGTAGGATCTTAACTGGGAGTCCTCGCCTCTCCCATGCTGGCAACTTACCGGTCCTTGGCCATGTGGCCCAGTGTTTTGAAACGTTTCTTTCTTTAGAGTAAAAGAGCACTCGTTTGCTCCGGCCGCCATAACAAGCTACCACAGACTGAGGTGCTTACACAGCAGGAGGCTATCTTCCCACAGTTCTGGAGGCTGGAAGTCTGAGGTCAGGGTGTTACAGGATAGTTTCCTGTGTGGTCTCTCATCTGGGCTCGTAGGTGGCCTCCTTCTCACTGTCTTCAACAGTCTTCCCTGACCTCCACTTCTTATAGTGACACCAGTTATATTGGATTAGGACTACTCTAAACACCTCATTTAACATACATTATCTCTTTAAAGACCCTGTCTCCAAGAACAGTCACATTCTGAAGTACTGAGGGTTAGGACTTGTTGAGGTTGGGGAGGGGCCCATAATAGAGCCCATACCAGAAGCCGGTCCCTGAAACATTGAGTGGGAATCAGTATTAACACCCCTCACAGCTCTGACGGCCTCCCATGATGGGCCCCTCTTTCTCTACAGCACGACTTCCCTCTAGAGATCAGTGAGCGAGACAGCGTTTGTTTCTTTCCCTCCAGCTCGCTCGCCTGACATGGTGGACACGGAACCATCCCCGCTCTGAGCTGGAGAAGGAAGCCCATGAGGACGCACCAGGGAAAGCAGAGATGGCACCTGGGGGGCCCCCTGCGGGAGGCAGAGGAGCGGAGAACCCCAGCCGGTGCCCGGAGCAGCACGGAGGTAGGCTGAGCGTGTGCTGCGGTGCGGATCACCGGGGACCGACGGGGACAGACCCTGGGGCGGAGCTCCCCAAAGACCGCATTTGGGGGTCATTGTGGATAGAGTCTTCGTAGAAGCCCAAAACATATTCTTCTCCTTCCCACATGGCTGTGAAACTGAGGAATAAGAGGATAAGGCAGAGGGGAGCCAAAATAGTGCCCTTATTACTGGTAAAGCGTAGGTGGAAAGATGTGCATTATATCCACGGGGAGGTGCACCTCCTAGTCCTGAACCCCAGCGTTAGATAGAGGGACCGGTCAGCCGCCTACCCGCGTGAGCACTGCACTGCCAAGGAGGAGGAGGGAGGGACTGAGCCAAGCATGGCCTCTTCATCCTCCTCAGATCCACCAATGGGGAAGCCCCTTCCCTCTCCTAAGGCAGACAATCAAAGGGTCTCACACTAATTGAGCTCCATCCACATGGAAGGAAACATCAGCTATGACAAACAGCTCCCCTCCCCGCCTGCCACATTATATTATTTATATCCCACTGGGCTTCATGATCTGCTTAGAGTTACACAAAAGCCAGGTCATCCTTCCCAGGAAGTGAGCAGGAGGGTCCATGTGGTGCTGTCTGTGCTCCTGAGGTTCCTCCAGAGCCACCACCCTTCCTAGCAGACCCTGCCAGAGCTGCTCGGAGGTCGCATGAATGTGGCCTCCTGGAGGTTCTTAAATGTGTTAGAACAGTATATGAATTAAATGTTCTCCGAGGCCACATGGTATCTAAAGTTGACATAGACATAAGGTAGCTGTTTCAGATATGATGCAGCTGTAACTTTCCTGTATGTGATTAAATAGCAACGTTAAGATGTTCTGATGTAATGACATCATACAGACATCCCAAAGTATAAAATTCCCAAGGGCAGATTAATGTTAAAAATGGTAAGTCAGTTTGCAATTTAAAGCCCCAGATCAATTTCTCTTGCCCTTGTGAGTTAAAAATGTAAGGAGCCCCAGGGCCCCAGCGGAGCCCTACCGTCCCAGCGGGCCGGCCAGAGCTCCAGCAGGGCCTCAGAGAGTGTCTTAGCTCCATGTCCAGCCTCGAGGAGGCCAAACCCCTAATAACTCCAGTAAGTTTAAACCTCAGGTGAGGTTATCCAAGCACTGGTTATTGGGCCCGCACACTGGCAGCTACGCCACTCAGCTCCACATTTTTTTGCCAGGTGCTAGGAGCCCTGTGCTTTCTCTGAGGCCAGAGACGCCTCCGACCCTTCTTGAGCCCCTCACCTTTACTTAGCACCCTGACTCCTGAGAAACAGCCACTTGCCTAGAGGTAATAACATCATAAGCTCCAGAATATGAGCTCCACCAACATCTAAGACTCCAAACTTCTTGACCACTTTGCACAGGGAAAAGCCAGTCGTCCACTATAAAAACAAGAAACAAAAAGCTATCCATAATGGGGAATATAATCTTTTATTAAGGTCCCAGAGCTCACTTCAGAAATCACCAATAAGGTCAAAGTCACCAGCCTTAGTCTAATCAGTGGCCCCAATTTTGCTTTGCAAAATGTAACTCCTTACCTCTTTTTTTTGAGCACTGTGGTCCATACACCAGATGCTGGGACCTCAAAACTGCTTCTCATCCCATTATCACAAGGACCAGGCCCTGGTCCCTACAAAAACTTAATGGCGTGGAAGAAGCAATCTGAGTGCACAGGTCTTTGCATGTGAGGCAGCTACGAAGAGAGAGGGAAGAGAGAGGGAAGTGAAAGGGAAGGAGCTGCAAAGGGAGCCCCCAAGCTGAAGCAGGGAGGACACAGCTTGTACTCTCCACGGCTGAGCCTCAGGACCAGACAGACATACAGGGTCATGGGCAGCCCTTCCTGGTGGCCCCCACGTCAAGGGCAGAGACTGTCTCTGGAGAATCAGAGAAACGACTGCTCCCTATGGGGGGCGTGCTCCCAACAAGGACATGGGAGGCACTGAGTCAGCCAAGTTCAATGAGAGAAATCCCTCCCAGCCACTAGAAGGACAGAAAGGGCAGGGACAGAGAGGCAAGAGCCATAACATGCAAGTGCCCCTTCCCTGTCACGGGGAACAGCGGGAATGGGGAAGGAGCACCCGTCCCTCAAAAGGCCACAGGCAGATGAATCCTTGGATAAAAAGCAAAGTGGCAGCATGCTTTTGAGTCCTACCAAAAGGAAGCTAAAAATGAATTTAAGAATAGCAGGGTAGATCCAAAAGAAGTATATACATCCCAGGTTGTAGATAGGTTTACATTTATTGAGTCACTGCTCACCAGTAACTGCCTAAGGGACTCAAAAGAGACTGAGGGAACCGCGTACAGAGAGAGAAAGCCTAGTGCAACCGAAGACCTGAAGTCATCTTCCTGCTCTTCCCGCGGCTCTTGCGGCTGTGTGGTCTTGAGCCACCCTCCCTCTCTCTGAGCCTTTTCCCACCTCTGCACAGTGAGGGAGCCAGGCCAGAGGGCCCCTGGGGTGAGTCTCGGGATAGTCGCCTTGAACTCACCACGCGCCAGGTTCCAAAGCCATTAAGATAACGAAACGCTTCCCCTGGGTTGTATTCAATCTCAGTGAAAAGATTTTTATTTGAATTTTCTTTTAATATACTAACTGATAAATCCAAAAACAACTTTTAAAATAGTTATTTTCTTTATTAGTCCTTTTCAACTTAGTTTTTAATGAATTGCACTCCTTTTTAACCTCAGGGTAAGCCCCTTCTCCACGCTGGGGATCTGCTTCCGCCTTGCAGTCTCCTGCACCTTTCCCAGAACCTCTCCCCACAGCTCCAGCTCTGTAACTTTGTAAAGTGCTGTCGAATCTGCATTTGGGTTTGATGAACAAAACAGCCTGCAGAACAGGACGTGCTCCATTGACTTATTTGGGAGGGGAAGACCCTGTAGCGCAAACTTGAGTGATTTGCACTTGGCCTCAGCCAGGCGAGGGCAATGGCGGGGCTGGCCCCGGAATGCGGCTTCCAGCCCAGTGCCTGTCCCAGGGTGTAGGTAGACCAGAGTCTGCCTTGCTCTGCTGCTGCCTCCCTCCTGGGGGGGGGACAGTGCTCCCCACTGCGTCCTCTTGGTGGCGTGCCATCTGAGTGGGGATGAGCAGCGTTACACACACTCCTCACCTGCACCATGGAGACGCTTCTGCTCCATGACTGCCTGGATGCTGTGGGCAGGCTCAGAGCTCAAGGTAGGGAGGCCCAGCTCAGTACCCAGGCGGTAGCTGAGAGACAGGACTATGCCACCTGTCCTACATTCCCCTTCTTTCTTGTGCACCTCCTCCCTTTCTTTGGCTTCTCACCATCTCTCTCCCTCCCCTGCTCCCTCATCACTCTCCTTTTCTACCTTGCTTTGCCCTTCCCCTCCTACTTCCCTCCTCCTTCTGATTTTTGTCTCTCAGCCCCACGCAGATCCTGGGGAAAGCAGCTCTGGGGCTGGTTGTGCGGGCTGTCCGGGGCCCCGCAGCGAGCCCTGAGCCCAGCAGAGGAGGCCGCGCTGGAGCAGAAGCTGACCAGCATCGAGGAGGAGCCACTCTGGAGAAGCGTCTGCAACGTCAATGCTGTCCTCCTGCTGGCCATCAATGTCTTCCTCTGGGGTTACTTTGCGTGACTCCACAGACTTGGCTTCAGCTGAGACAGATGAAACACAGCCCCAGTCCGGCCAGCCACAGACCAGGCTTTCCTCTCACTTTGCTGTCCAAACGGGGGACCACAGAGGCTGAGACTGCAAGAGCATCTGCAGAGCCCCTCATCCAGCCTGTGCACTTGACCGGCGGTGAAACGGAGGCCCAGAGAGGGCACTGGGTCTGCCCAGGGCCGCACAGCAGGATTCACACTGGTGTCCTGACTCCAGCTCTCTTCCCATTACATCGCCTTACAGTCCTACCTCAAAATTGCTGTTTCACCTTCTTGGTGAGTCTGCTCAGGACCATTGCCTCAACGTGTATCTTGAGATTAAAAAGTGGATGATACAAGAAAAGGAATAGCAAGCAAGTTGCAGAAATTCATGTGCATCTTTGTTCACCCATATCCCTCCCTCTCCCCTTTTACTCCTTCCTCTATACCCCTCATTCCTAATCCCCAGTCAACTACTTCTAGCAGGCATCTACCTGAAGGACTTCAGGCTTCCATCGGTGTCTCCACATGGTGGCCATCAGATCCAGAGGAGGAATGTTAGCAGGGTGACAGATGTGTTTGGGCAGAGAGCACTGGGATAAGGGACTCTCATTGGCACTACTCAAGTCTGTCTCTTCCTCCAAACATGTGCCAGGTTCCCTGACCTGAGGAGCTGGGAGTCCAGTTGGAGAGACATGACTCGTTGAAAAGAGCAGGGACTGAGACAGGCTGCTCTGTGCTTCATTGTAAGCCCTGCAGAAGGTCAGCGCAGGCAGCCGAGGAGCTGCCACAGCTGCACCTGTGCCCCTCCCTCTCCCTTGACCTGCCAGGACCCTGCAAAACACCACGACCCTGCTTAGCTGTTCCTCCTCCAAGAGGCTGCCTGATGCCCCAAACTGGGTCAAGGTCCCGCTCCTGCTCCCACGACGTCTGGACTTGTTTCTGTGGCAGCTCTGATCACCGACTGTGATGTTAATCTCCTGGCTAGACTGAGTCCTCCAAGGGGCAGGAATCAAGGGCGATGTCCCAAGTGACTTTGTACCCGGACAGGAGCAGGTGCTTCATAAATGCTGAATTAGTAATTCTCCAAGGTCATGCAGGCTGTGCTCTGTGGCTGGCTGGGTTGCAACTTAGGGAGCCTGCTGGTGGCAGGGACTCTCCCCTCAGCTGGGGTTGACACACCAAGTCTCAGGTGGCTGGAGGGGAACCACAGCCCCGTCCTCTTGCCTGACACAGGTGAGATGTCCCTTCCTTAATCTATCTCCCTGTCTCGGCGGCCCCTGGTCTCATCGGGTCCTCTTTAATGCTGCCTTGGACCATCACTTATACTAATAAATCATCATAATTACATACAAATAAAATTTTAGTTTTTTGAAGTTTAAGTACAGCTGATTCTATGACTAACTGCTGTTGCTGCTGCCTCCAAACTCGTGCCCACGACCCTTTGACCTCCTCCGTGTCGCCTCACACGGCTTCCTGGGAACTCAGCCCTCTCCCCCGATTTTCTCCCAAACCACATTTGTGTGGAACCAATTATACTGAAGGTTTGGGGAGGGGAGACCTTTAAACCACAGAAGCACAGTTTAGAATTAAATATTGAACATTGCTGTTTTCAAAAGCTCCTCAGCAGGTTGCTGTGAGAATTCCCACGGGTCTTCGCAGCCTCTAGCCGCCGGCCACTGGCTGTGGTTCTGGGTCCCCTCCCGCTGCAGAGCCTCTCACTGCTCCCCAGTACCCTGCTTGGGGCCCCTCCCCCACTTCCCACTCCCTTTGTTGTGTTCTCCTCTGGGTTCCAGACTTACCTCTTCTACCCCAAAAACTCATGGGCAAGCTGCTAATCACAGCGGGATTGCTGCAAGGGGGGCCGCTCTCCTCCTCTGCCCGCTTTGCCTGGTTAATTCCTGCTTATTCCTCACATCTCAGTGTAAAAGTCATGTACATCCTAAGGGAAGCCTTAGCATTTCTGTGACGACCTTACCACAGCCGCCTGCGTCCCAGAGCAGGTAAGTCCCAGCTCCCAACATGTAATCTCATGGTCCCCTGAGTTTACCTTCAAAGAAAGTGTCAGAACAACATATCTGTGTACTTCTTTCATTCATACTCAGCTTGTCCCCTAGATTAGAAGCGCTCCTAGCGTGTTCCCATCTCCTAGAACAGTACCTGACCCATGGCGGGCACTAAGAATTATGTTTGAATAAGCGAAAGAATGAATGAATGAGGGAGGGAAAGAACATTCTTAATAGAGGGAAAACACAAAGGGAAAATCACGACACAATCAGGAAGCAAAAAGTAGTTTAAATGCCTGGATCGGAGGGTCCTGTGGGCAGGGCCGGGGCTGGTCCATCTGTCTTTGTGCGAGCGAGCAAAAGGCGCCCTTCCTTCTTGGTGCTGTGACTCCTCAGCAGGGCTCACGGGTGGCAGCCCGCGCTCAGGCGCTTTTGGGCAGGGCACCCCCGGCGCATCATGAGCGGCAGCCCTGCCAGGCTCGGGGGTGGCTGGCGCCGTGGCTGGGAGGGCAGCGGGGGTTAGCTCGGGAACGAGGTTCCATGCTACACGCAGGACTCCTTCATCTCTTACCTGGGTTGTTGCGCCAATCTCTGGACTCTTATCTCTGTTCTCAGTCTCTCCTCTGCCGATTCTCCCTATGCCCGACAGCAAGAGTGATCTTTGTAAAATGCAAATCTTGTGTCATCCACCTGCTTCAGGTTCCCTGCAGAGGCTGTTTCCCAGCCTGGCATGAGGCCCTGCTAGAGAGGGCCCCCCGGGTCAGTCCCTGGGTCCTCTTCTTTACCCCAGCCAAAGAGAGGCTCTTCTCTGCGGTGCTTAAGAGCAGGGACTTGGGAACTGGAACCTCTGGAGCTCAGTCTTAGCTCTGCCAGTTGCTAACTGCAGCTTAACCTCTCTCAGTTTCTGTTCTACACAGTGGAAATGGTAATTGAAGCTACTTCATAGAATTGAGAGGATTAAATGAGTTCATTCACATCACGTATTTAAAACAGTACCTGGCACACAATTAAAGCACTCAATAAACATCAGCTATGTTGCTACCATTGGTCACAGGTGAGATGGGCAGACAAGGAGGCATGCTTAGCAAGCGTGCAGTCAGAGTGAAGGGGATGGGGGGCGGCTGATCTTTCCTGAGGCCTCAAAAAGTTCATATGGGAGCCAGACTTGGGAGGATGAATTGGAATTTTCCAGAAGTCATACAAGGTAGAGGGACAGGGTGTGCAAAGGTGGTTAAGGTGCAAAAGTGCACTCAGAGTTCTTACAAAAGAGAGGTATTTACTCATTTGCAGATACCAAGTCTATACATTTACTTTCCCCTTATAAACCATGTATCGTTAGTCCTGCACCTCTAAGGCAGTGAAGTTCACTGAGCAAGGATAGCAAAGGGGAGTGTCTGACCCCTGCAGCCGAGGTCTTGCTGCCCCGCCCCTGCGCACATCCCCTAGGCAGTCACCAATCCTGAAAGCCCCTGCCACTCTCCCCTGAGAGATTCTCCTGGCTCTAGAGCCTTCCTGCCTCAGAACAGTCTGGAAGTGCTGGGAATCCAGTGCCTGGGAGCAGCCCTCAGCCAGTGACAAAGAGCTGTGGACGTGCATTGCCAGCCTCTCGCCCACCGCGGGGGTGGGGGGCGGGCGGGCGGAGCGGGGGGAGGCGACTCAGAGGCTTGTTCAGAACCAGCTCTGAGGTTCTCCGGGCATTGCGCCCTGGTTGCCCAGTAAGCCTGCTTCTTACCACATCCCGAATAGCTGCCTTCCCTGTCCCCTCCGCCACCCTCTCTCCTGCCAGGGTTCCCTAGGATCGTCTCCCTAATAAACCGTTGAACTTGCACCGGGTTTCATGAACTGCTTCTGGGGAAAGCAAATCGGAGAGCCTAGGACGACTTCAAGGCACTGGCGTCCTAGCTTAAATTTGTCATAAGCTGCTTCGTGACACGCTCCCCACCCTCATACCTCAGTTTCAGTATCCCTAATAAAGAGGACAAAGGCTGACATCCATTTAGGTGAAATCCAGGAAGGCTTCCAGGGCTGACACTGTGTGCTTCTGGTTCATTTCCACGTTTGTCTCCCTGGGGCCGAGGGCGGGTGGGAGTGGAGCGGGGACAGGGAGGGCAAGCCACTCGCCAGCCCATGAGTGGAAACCGTGCAAATAGAATAACACCGAAAAGTAGTTTTCAGAGAACTGAAATGGGTTTGCCATGAGCGATAATAACATTAAGAAGTAGCTTTGGGCTGTGAGAGGGCAATGTTTAAAAACAAATAGTACTCTTAAAAATCCATGAAGAAATGTTTTTAAAAGTGATTTGCAATTGAGCTGGGACCACAGAAGCACTCCATTTAATATGTGAGACCCGGAACCATGTCCCTGGGTATGAGTTCACATCAGTTAGAACTAATGTCTCTCTGGACTTCCAGCCCTAAGTAAGATTACTGTCATTTTTTCTTTTCTCCAGGGTGAAAAGTTGGGAGCACTTTAAAGGTTATATATAAATATAAATCCTAGATACTTAAATTGAACTAGTTACAGTTTACTTTCATATTTCAAAATCAAATCTCAGCTTTTGCCCAAGCTTACAATGTAGAAATGCCTGATTTTTACTGTATGTGATCTTACATAAAATCTAGTCTTCACTTAAAGAAGAAAAAAAAAAACCCCACACCATTATACTTTAGCATCCGAGTAGAACACAAACTCCCTAGTCTATCTGTCAGTATAGTTTGTGTGTAAATTTTAGAATTATATATGTTCAAAATGGGAAGGACCCTCAGGGGTCAGGGATTTTGCACCCCCTCCCCCCAATTCCTCCTTAGTCCAGGTCAGAATTTCTCTGAACAGCCTCTCTGACAGGTAAGGTCACCAGCCTCCCTCCAGGGGCAAGGAACTTCCTACTCCCTGAGACAGGGCATCTGCCATTGGGCCACATTGATGACTAGAAAGTTCTCTTTTATCACTTAAACTCTGTAACTCTGCATTTTCAACCACTAGTACAAA